CAACAGAACTTTAATTTAACTTGAAGAGGAGACACCAAATGTCACAGTGCATTGTGGGGAAAATGGGTATAAAATGTGTGAGTGTTGCAATTCATTAAAAATAAGAGTTTTTGAGTTAACATCATACAGAATCAATTGCACAATATTCTGTCATCGAGTGAAGTTTTGAAAAACAAGGGAAAATAAAACAAGAGAACTGGATGTCAGGGGTTAATTCTATACCATGCTATATTCCCATGAAGAGATTTTCCATATATTCCCAATTGGGAATATATGGAAAAATCTTTTCATTTGGCCCACTGCAACTTCACTTTCTTCATATGCTGTTTCATGTGTTGTGTGTTCCAGGATGATCTTCTCCGAGTTGTCTCATTATCTCTCTGTCACGCACACTATTCCCCAGAAAACAATATGAACCTCTGTCTTACAGGTGTTGTTTCTTTTATCTAAAGTGTTTTCTCCCACATCACTGCAGCTGACTGGGTGTTGTGCAATGTGCTGCAGTGCATGACAAACCCGAGGAAATCAGCCATAACTGAGGTACACATGAGGAGGAGAATTTGGCTGCAGCATTTTGCACCAATCAGTCCAGAAGATTTAAACTGAGGATAGTGTCCACTCAAATCTTTATTTGAATTTGAAGAAAACCAAGACCGTCTTAAACTTTGATACAAGACATGACTCATGTGTCTGGAGACGTGGAGCTGGTTGCAATCGATGGGGATGTGTGTGTGTATATACGAGTGTGTGTGTGCACCAGAGAGAGGTCAGAGTGCAACCTCTGATGTTAATGCCCTTCAGAGATGATTAGTTCCTCTAACCTCCAACCCCAAAGAGGGAGCTTTGTCCAATCACACACCCCCACCCACTCACTCACCGACATGCATGTACACTCCCTTCACCACCTTCACCACCTCCATCACTATAACACACCCATCCCTTTTCCTTCCCATATTCTTAAATAACCTCCGATCACTCACGTCCACGCTTAATGGATCATGGCAGATGCAGGCAAAGCATACCAACATGAAATTAGATGCATCTGGGAAAACAAATGAGTGAAAAAAGACAGATAACAGTGATTTTGAGGTAAAACATCTTGTCAACCTTCTACAGAGATAAAGTAAAAAAAAAAACAGAGTGTAAAACGAGGGATAAGTCAAAGTCCACAGACACATCCAGTGGTGAGCATGTCATTTAGTTTGGACTGCCCTCTAGTGGTACATTAACATTTACGATGTGAACCACAGAGAAGTGTCATGAAGAACGATCTCAGGGTGACGACCTGTATTTTTCACATCAGCATTCATGCTTTGAAAGGACACTTTACTGAGTCAATTCTCAGAGCAGCATCTGCATGTATTCACTACTCTCACTGCACAGAGTTGAGCCCGGTATCACAGGCCGTGTTAACCCCCACCACCACCCTGGGAAGCTGTTAAACCAGTTCACCTGATCCCGGCATACAAATCCAGTCAGGCTCGCATGACGTTATTTACTATGGAATGGGTTCCAGTCCATATTATTCTGTTGCTGTGAATTAATGTAGTTGCTTCAGGATTAAAGAGCAAACTACTTATGACTAGGGGACCAAGCTGATATCAAACATCCTTTCTTAAAAATATTCTTAAATACTTTTGATATTTACTGTTTTAAGTGTGTGTGCAACTTCATCTCTGTTTTATGAACTAATTATTCTCGTTTTGCTTCACATTTTTTCTGTCTGTGTATTTTTAATTGTGCTTTATAAATAAAGTTGATTAATATCATAGACAAAAACAATCTTATTTATTTCCCCATAAATCAAACAGTCACGTTAAAGTAATTCAAGCAATTGTTCATTTTAAACACACTTTAAAACAACATTACATACAAAACAGTAACTGTCCTTTGGTCCTCGTATATCTCATTATGTACAACATATTCAGCAGGACTGTTCTCAGACACAGGCATCCAGTCCTGGTATCAGCGAACAATCCTTTTTTTAGTCACGATGAAGGAATCTGCCAACCGCCTCCAAATATCTGGATTAAAGGAGAGATTCTAAGCTCCTCTCAGTGAAGCCCATTTACAGACATAAGGAGAGAGATCAGTCAGTCTTGTCTCTCTTCTCTCTGCGCACCTTTCGCTTCAGCTGGAGCGTCTTGAGTTCAGTCATAGTGGAAAAGGTCCTGTACACCCACACCATCTGTAGTTAGGAAACACACACACACATGTTGTCTTTGGAATACCTGATGCTCATCTGTGCTCTCAACATTTGATCTGATGTGACAGGGTACTTACCACAATGATGACTGTGTTGAGCAGCAAAGGAATCGAGTAAACCAAAGATATGAACATGCCCTTTGAATCAAAGTACTGGAAATTAGAAAAAGACCTGCAAACAGAAGTAAAGCTGAATGAGCATGTGTTGCTGGTTACGTTAGTTTCCCTGTTTGTGATCAAAGCCAACAGGGCTCCTATACAGACTGTTTCACTCACTGTACTGAAATACTGCTCAGCTATGCTCATACCTCCAGTTCATAGCTGCCAGCTCATTCAGATGTTCAGCACTATACACCAGGCCCACTGTGGAGAGAAGCAGGGTCAGTCTGTGAACACTGATAAGCCGCATCACACACACACTCACTCACCCTAACAACAACTGTGTGTTTACAAGCCTCTTCACTCTGGGTCTCATTTATCTTGAATTATGAAGGTATGTGGAGACATCCAAAACAAGATTTACGGGATCTAGTGATACTGATCAGCTGCTGATTGAAGTATATTGTTACGTATTGCTCACTGGTGCTGTTGGAATGAATTCCGGGATGTCGAATGCAATTGGAATATTAGGAAATAAATCAATACAATTTAAACGCTGTACTTAAAATTAACATGTGTATTTTTTATTCATAAATGAGTTGGCTCAGTGGGTCAGGCTTGACCTCCGTTACTGCTCTGCATGTTTTTGTGATATAACCTACAGATTTAAACATTGCAAATCTCTTAGAATTGATCATTTTCACTGTATCGCTGTGAACCACGTGTGGCTTGCGGAGAAAATAGACAGAAACCCAAATCACCAGAGGAGCAGCATTTAACACGCCTGAGACTCGCTGCTGTGTTCATAGTAATAATTGTCTCTTTGGCTTTTCCATGGTTGATTCGTTATTTGTAATTGGGGGACAGAAATACTTCCTCAGCGTTTAGTTATCCACCTGAGTCTATATACAGAAACTCAACTATGCATGGATGAACTGAACATTAGCATGAACATTAAGAGTGGATGAATTTATGGAATGGCGTCCCTCCTCATCTCCCTCGTTTTGCCTACTGAGTAAATATTACACGTTTCTATTTTTCTTCAGATTAACATTGGGCCCTCTTCGGTTTTCGCACATGACAACTTGAACTTGAGCAGTGAGGATAAGAACCGACTGCAGGTGGGTATGTTCTCCACGTACCCATGAGCAGAAAGTGACAGATCTGAGCTCTGTAGAATCTGCAGGTCACCACCGTCACACACAAACACACAGCGTGAAACAACAAGAGCCCGACGAGCCAGGGCTCCGACCACTGCACCTACAGACAGCCACAGAGAGGAGAGAGACAACAGACAGTCAGTGGGTGATAAACTCTCATCTGTTTATCGGCAGAGCTCGGCGTGCTAGCAGCGAGAGCTAACGCTAGCTGCCTCGCCTCGGCTAAAGTATGAAACTCCTTACAGACATGAGAAACGTCCATATCGATGTGATTCTTAAATGGCTGAAGCCGTCGATAGGGATTGAGCTGATGTTCTTCTCGGATTTCAGCTCCGCCATGTTCACAAAGTACCGAGGCAGCTGCTTGATGTTCCTTAGCTCGTGTAAACAGGACCCGAATGCGGAAGTAGCTTCTCTGTCGCGGTCAAAACACGTCATCAAGAAGTCGGATCTGTCGCCTCTGTTGTTTTCATTTGGTTCAACAGGATTGCACAAAACCATAAAACCGATTCACATGAAATGTTCTGAATGTTTGTTAAATCCGATGAGGCAATTTGAGAATTTGTGCTGTAGAAATAAGATCTGATTAAATGATGCTCTGCTCACCAACTTTGATTTTAATCTATTTCCTCTGCAGAGGGGTGTTCTCTCTTACTACCTGGCAACAGCAGTCTACCAAGGTGCAAGCACATCTGGCTTTCAGAGGGAATGTTACAGCCAAAACACATGAATGATAAATTAAGAGACTAAGTGCTTGACATTTGAGCCAATCTCCGGGTGCACCAACCTTTCTTTTCTGCTGGTGAACTAGCAGAACTTGCTCAATGTGCTCAGATCTGTGTGTTATTGGTTATTTCTCACACTGACTCAACTCCTGCCTCCAAACAATTACTGAGCATCATGTGACCACACATACTACCAATCCCAGAAACCAATTAGAATACAGAGGGAATTCCCAGAATGAATACCAACATGCAGGTTGATTTTGATCCCAGTGGCATCTCAAACCTTCCTGTGAGAACATAAGGAGTAATATTTCATCAAAAGCAGAATTTTTATTTTCACCTTTCACTAATAAATTAACAATTTAAGGTGAAGGAAAAGTCTTGTGCTCCTGTTTGTGAGTAAGTCATTGTAAAGGAAAGCGCCCAAAACTTCAAAGCTAACGTGGGTATTATATCATGCTATCTGATAGTGCCAATGGCACCAAGTCTGCAAAGACGTGGGAAGTTGGGAAGTGGGAAGGTGCACGAGAAGAACAACAACTTTTGAGAGACAGTGGATGTAATTGAATTTTGGATTAACAATGATATTTTGGATTTGATTTTCAGAGTTGCTAATGTGACAAATACTATTTAAAATTATTGTACAACTTATTGTATCGTGAGGCATCAACAACCTTTTACTGGCAACCTTTTTTAAACATGTGTCGTCATATAAAAGGTCCTTTGATTTCCTATGATCTTGATGAGGACTCTATCTTGTTTGATGACTCCTTTAATGTGTTAAGTTCTTTGATTAAAAGTAGCAATAATAACTGATTTAGCCCCAGGAGAAAATTTCAGCCTTCTCAAGAAGACTTGGGAGCAAACTGCGATGGACGGAAAACAAAAAGAGGTAAGATTTGTACTTTTATAATTCAAATATAAATACTATAATTTCTTTAAATAACGTTTGATAAAATTGTGATTTTATGATTGAAGTTGAGTTTCTTGAGCAAGAAGTGGATCAAGACTCTGTCCTTCAGCTCATCGCTCACTGTTTACACTCCAACTAGTTTCTAATGTCACGCGAGTCCAGTGTGTGTCATCACACTCAAAAAGTGTTGTTGTGTGTATTTTGTGAAACATGTTAGAAATCACATCTGCCCTTTGCATGTGTTCTCCACTTAAGTTGTGTTTTCTTCTTCTTGAGAGTTTAACGGTAGTTCACATCCACTGTGCTGCATTACAGTCACCTCCTGGAGTTATTTCACTCCTACAATATCAGGACGCCAGATTTACAATAAGCTGATGTTACTAATGATGATAGTAAGAGATCGAGCTCACAGTTAAGACCAGTGTGTTAAAGACCAGTTTGTGCAACCATACCTCACTAACTGACCAACTGTACTGAGATGTCTCATTAAAACAACAGTTAAACACTTGGGGCACTTCTATCACACTGTGATTTAGTTCTAATAGGATATGCTTGGATTTTTTATGTGGATACACGTTACTATTTCAAGGAGACCTATCTTTACCATAAAATATGTGTATGTGTTGTGTTACGGGTGGACTGGAGTATTAATCATGAATTCTATTTATGTTCGATTTTTCAGACCCCGCCTGGAGGCCAAAGATTTGTGGTGCACTATGGAACAGAGCCAAAGTTAAAGCGGAGGAAACGTAATGTCACGAGTGACACTGAAGACTGTCAAAGCAACCAGGAGCTGTTGGCGAGATCTGCTGGTGGCACTAAAAGAAAAAATCAGGCCAAGCAAAAGAAAGGGCCTGCAAAGAAGCAACGTTGTTTATTAGATTGGGATGAAGACAAAAATTCACCTGAAGAGCTGAAAAGGATCTACCTGTCCAGTAACATGCTGGAGCAATGGTGCCATAGGCCCTTCTTTGCCAACACTGTGACCGGCTGTTTTGTGAGGGTAGCAATCCAGGAGTGCAGCAGGAACCCACTTTACTGTATTGCCGAAATTATGTCTGTGATGGAGACGGAGCAGGTCTACCAACTGGGATCAACCCGGACAAACCTGGGAATGGAACTCAGGCATGCTGGTATCAAGCAGATTGTTACACTCCTGTCTGCATCAAACCAGGAATTCCTCGTAAGTGAGTTTCAGCAGTGGAAACTAGCAATGATGAATGCTGGGATGCAATTCCCAACTCCAGAAACAATCTCCAAAAAGGAGCAGGCCATCAAAGAAGCCACAAACCACACTTTCACTGACAAAGAGATAGACTTTATTGTGGAACGGAAGAATAGATTCCGAATGACACCATTGAATTATGCCAGGAAAAAAATCGAGCTACTTGACCAACTGCACAGAGCAAAAGCCTGCGGAGATGTTTTCAGGGTGACAGCAACCCAGGAAGAGCTAGAAAAGCTTGCGATGGGAAGACCATTCAGATGAGCAGAGGCTCTCCCACTGTCAAATCCAGGAGACCTCCCTTTCCTGAACCACAAACTAACAATAGACCTTTACCACAGGAATAGAAGAAAAAGGACTCACAACAAGCAATTTGAGCTAATAGATAGCTAACAATATAATTTATGAACTAACTTTATCCAGTTAGTTGTCACATCAATAAAATTGTGTTTCCTGTCACAAGCTGTGTTTCTGTGTGGGAGTGTTATGTTGAAGGGTCAGCAACGGAAGTTGTTCAAACAACATTTTGACTAGTTTTGAAAAACTGTCCTGGTTCAGATGTCAGATGTCATTCTTCATGTCTTTATTATAGGACTTCCTACCTTTCAGTACAGGTGAATTAAGCTCTCTCTCTCTCTCTCTCTCTCTCTC